CCCCCCTCCCGCCCCGCCCCCGCCGCGGCGGTGCCTGCCCGGGCTCGGCGGGCGCGCGCACCGGGACCCCGCACCGGCACCGGGGATCCCGCACCGGCCCCGCGCCCCCTGCCGGCCCCGCCCCGCCCGGCCCCGACACCGACACCGCCTCCCGGGACCGGGACCGGCCCCGCCATCGCCGGCCGCGCCCGCCCCGCCCGGTACCGCGCCGCCGCCGCCGCCGCTGCTGCCGCCGCCGGCCCCACCATGATGAAGTTTCGGTTCCGGCGGCAGGGTGCCGACCCGCACCGCGACCGCCTCCGCCACGACCTCTTCGCCTTCAGCAAGGTGCGTCCAGGGCGAGCGCGGGGCGCGGCGGAGGGTCCCGGTGGGGCGGCGACCACCGGGAGGCATCGGGAGGCACCGGGCGGGGTGCGGTGTGCGGGCAACCCCGTCCCCGGGGGCGCGGGGCTGCGGGACCCCACGGCGCGGGATGCTGCCCGCGGGGAGGCGAGCGGCGTGCCGGGCACCGCCTCCCCCGAGAGCACCGTGAATCCCCGGGAAGCCGCGCACCGGGACCCCCCGGCACCCCCGGGGAGGGGGCACTCTCGGGGGGACGGGGCTGCCGGGGGGGGGAACCCCGGGAGCAGGGGTGCGGGAGGATGCACCCCCGGGGGTGGCTACCGGGAGCCCCCGGGTGCGGGATGCGCCCCGGGGGGCTGCGCTCCTCCCGCGGAGTTCACGGGGGCAGGATGCGACCCCCGCACTAGCGCAACATCCCTTCTCCCAGCCCCTTCCCGGAGCGTCCCTGTTCCCGCACTCGCCCTGTCCCGGGGCTTCCCCCAGGCCTCGCTCGCCGGCGTTTCGGGGTGTCCCGTGGTCCCCCACCCTGTTCCTCCTCTCTTCTCTCCTCCTTTTCCTCCTCTCCCTCCTCTCCTCTTGCTTTCACTGTCCAGGGGGGTGCAGCCCTGGAGCATCCCTGGCTGCACCCCCCGTGCGGGGCTCAGGCCCTCGCCCCAGTCCTCGCAGGAGTGGGATATTGGTGGTGCCGGACCCCCTGTGTCGGCCGTAAGGGCTGTGGCGATGACCCCCGGGGCTTGATCCCCTTGCACCCCAAATTGTGTCTGTGGGGTTTGGGGGTCATCGGACTCGCAGAGTTTGGGCACTGGGGACGTTTCCCACTCGGTTCCCTCATTCGGGTGCGGGATGCCCCCAAGCTCATCAAACTATGCTGGAGGGACCCTGCGAACCCTGGGGTGGGGGACCTTTCCCTCAGGGCATCGGGCTGTGCCGGCGGGTGCCCGCCTGGGACTCCCTGCACCCCATCCCGGGAGCCCCGCGGCGTTGGGACCACCCTCCTGCGCTGGCCCTGGGGGATAGGAGACCACCGGTAGTGGCCCCTGGATGAGCCCAAACTGTGTCTGTCCATCCTCTGGCACATCCTAGCACTGCCGTTGGGTACTTGCCCAACTCCCCGCCGTGCACCAGAGGGACCCCGGGGTTGTCCCACGGTGGGGCCGAGCTGGGAGGTGTCGGGGTGTGCTGTGGGATAAGTTCGGAGCCAGCAGCCCCTGCCCAGCACAGCCCTGATCCCCCCAGAGGGGGTCTCGCCGGGGTGCAAGGCTCAGCCCAGCTGGAGCCCCCCGTTTTTGGGGAGTGCATTCCCATGGCTGGATCCTGCCCGAGGGGGCATCTTGTGGGGTCTGTGCCGGTGGGATGTCCGGGGGGGGGCCGGGGGGAGCCCCGCTCCGACCGTCCCAGTGCTGAGGCAGCCGGCTGCCCACCTGCCTCCCATTAACGGTTGTTTTTCCTCCCGAGCTCCAGATCTGCCTGGGATTTGCTGTGATTTGGCCGGGAGCGCGCCTTGGCCGGCCGGCACAGCCTGCCGGATGCGGCCCCGCTGCGGGCGGGAGGGAGGGCTGCGGGCGGGGGGCTGAGCCGGGCCCCCGTCCGGGGCTGGGAGTGCTGGGGAGCAGCCGGGACAGCACTTTTTGGGGAGTCTTTGCCGCTGTCATCGTGTTGGACCCCGGCCTAAAGCATCACTGTGGTGTCCCTGCGCTGCTGCTGTCCCAGCTCCTTCCTCCAGCCCAGCGTGCATCCTGGGGGGAATCGGGGTGACCCTGTGTGGGGCTGCCACAGGGATCAGCACCCACAAGCATCCACTACCTCACCCCTTGGATGGGCTGGGACCCACTTGGATAGGCTGGGACGCCTTGGATGGGCTGGGAACGTTGTCACGCTCCTGAAGGTGTCCCCTGGGAGGGGAGCAGGAGCTGGGTGATCGTGGCTGCCGCCGGCGGGTGTGAAAAGCCGCCCCGCTGCGCCTCTCGGGATGCCCCAGACAAAGGGAGCAGGTCAGGATCCGGCCAGTCTGGCTCCGGCGGGCTCCGTATCGTCTGATCGCGCCGTGGCTGCTCAGCCGAGCTGCCCCCGGGAGCGCTGCGGTCCCCTCGGGGCCGGGGCGGTGGGTGCCCCCCGCGTCCCCCCGCTGCCAGGTGGCAGCCCCTCCCCGGCCGGCGAGTCCAGGCACGCCGTCGCCGGCCGGGACTTCCTTGGGAAGGTGCCCGCGGGCGGCACGCGGCTCCAGCGGGGACGTCCCGGGTGCTGGTGGGTCCCGCTCACCTGGTTCTGCCGCCCGGCATCGGGGACCCCCGGTAATGCCGCGGCGGGGGTCCCACTCACCCCTCCTGGGGTGTCCCTGCCTCGGGCAGGGGGTTTAGAGCGGGGGGTCGCATCCCAAAGGGCCGGTGGGTGGTGCAGTGGTTTGTGCAAGCTCAGACCTACTCCGGTCCTCAGTGTGGCTTTTGGGTTGCTGAGTAGAAATAGGGTGAGAAGTGATGTCCCCGCTCCCCAAGGCCCCCCTTGGTGGCAGTGGGGGACCAGACAGCATCCTTGTGACCCCCCATTGTAGGGGTGATGCTCAGGCTGGTGCAGGATCAGGGCTGTGGGGGTTAGAGGGGGCCATGGGAGATGTTTGGGGGGCAGTCAGTGGTGGGGGGTCCCGCTCTGACCTGCCTGTCCCCGTGGCAGACGGTGGAGCACGGCTTCCCCAGCCAGCCCAGCGCCCTGGCCTACGACCCCGTGCTGCGCGTGATGGCCATTGGCACCAAGGCAGGAGCCGTCAAGCTGTATCCTTTTCCCCCCCATGAGCAGGAGGTAAGGACCACCCCCCCCCCCAAGCCCTCCTGGACTCCTCTGGCTCTCTCCATCCTGGGGAATGCTTGGAGACGTGGCTGTGCTGCTTCTGGCCCATCCGGCAGCCCCTGCTCCGCTGGCGTCCATCCGTCCATCCATCCGTCCAGCTGTGCTGCAGCTGGGCCGGGCGGGGAAGGGGAGGCTGGAGGAAACCCCCACCTCACCCAAAACATCGCGGGGTGCGGGGGGGCAAAGGGGCTTGGCCGTCCTGGGTGGCATCCCAAGTAGGGGTCCTTCCTAGTGTCACCCCCACATCCCGGGGGGCTCCTGTGCATCCTGACCTTGTTCACGCAGCCCTCGGGGGGCAGGGGGTGGGCAGCGGGAGCTCTGGCCGGCCCGGCGCCGGGGTGAGGGGCTGCGGTGGGCGCTGAGCCCGGTCCCGGGTGGGGGGCCGAAGCAGGGGACGCCGGCCGGGCTTTTGTTGCCGGCAGCGTGCAGGGAGACTTCAGAGGGCTGCTGGCGGGCGGCCAGGGCTGGATGCGGCCCATGCTCGGGGGGCCCCCGCGCCGCAGGAATGTGGGGTGGGGGCGCGGGGGCGGCTGCGCCCGCAGCGGGGTCGGGGTGCGGGGGGGCCGCGCTGCTCCCCCTCCCCCAGGCCGGCGACTCGCGGCCTCCCGAGCACAAAGATGGCGTGTTTTGTTCTGCCGGGGCCGCCCGGGTGCCAGCCCGGCCGCGACGTCGCCAGCCGCCCTGCTCGCCTGCCCGCCCGGGGCTGCTGGTCCCGGCTGAGCCCCCCCAGCCTCGTGGGGATGCCCTTGCGGGGGCTGCGGTGCCCCGAGCATCCTCTGCGGGGGTGGTTTTGGAGTGGTACCACCAGTGTGGTCCTGCACCCCGTGCCCACCCAGCCCCGTTCCAGCTGCCGCCAAAAAGATGCTTCTGGAGGTTGGCGGTGCTGGGGAAGCCGGGCCGGGTGAGGCAGCAGCCAGAGCTGGCCTGACTGGCGTTACTGGTTAGTGGGGGCACCCATGGGTGCTCCCCAGCTGGGCTGGGTGGATCTGGCTGCAGGGGCAGTCCAGCATCGAGGGGATGCCATCGCCTGGGGGGTCTCCTGGGGCAGCTGGAGGTCACTGGGCTTGGACCCCTGTCCCATACACTAGTGTTCCTGAGCTACTTGTCCCAAGGGCTCTCAGCTGGCAGCACCAGTTTTGGTGGGGAAAGACCCCAGGATGAGCAAGGGTGGGTGGCACCCCCCGTCTACCTAGCAGTCAGAGCCCCCTGCATGCTCCACCTCGCACACCCCATTGTCTGCTCTCCCTAAAACTCCGTGGCTCCTGTCTGGCTCTGCTGGCTCGGCTGTGCCCGGCACTGCCAGACAGCTCCTGCCTGTCCGGCTGGGCAGAGCCGACGGACTGGTTCTCTGTTCTGAGGGCACCAGGAGGCAGCTGGGGGCGAGGACCCCTGGCACATGGTGTGCCCAGGTGTGGCTGTGCCATGCACCGGTGACACCGTGCTGGGGGGAGCAGCTGGCTGGGTCCGGGGGGTATCGGGGATGCCAGGCTGGGGTGCTCCGTGCGGTGCTGGAGCCACTGTGCGGGTCCTGCCCCGGTTCCTGCCGAGCGGCGTCGCTGAAGGAGCCGGGACCAGTTGGGTGAGTGAGGCTGTGCCGGCGCATGCCGAACCCCACCCCGCTGCTGGTGCGTGCCGGGGCTCCCGGCGCCTCTCACACACCCACCCCGGCCCTGTGTCAGCCGCAGCCTGACCCGGGATGTCCCGGTTGGAGTCGGAGGTGCTTGGTGGATCCTGGCTTGGCCTGGAATGTCCCAGACAGAGGTTCTTGGTGGATCCCAGCTGGGGACAGTGGTGCCAAGGCCGGTTCTGATATGTGACACAACCAGGGATGCTCTGCCCTGGCTCTCCCAGGGACAGGAGGCTAAACTGGCACCTGTTGGCAGAACTGTGACCTAGAGAAATTGGGGGGGTGTCCTGGGGTTCACTGGGGGCGGGGGGGGCTCTACCCTTGTTGTTTCTTTGACGGCCCCCCCAGATATGGCGCGCCGGGCGTGGAGCTGACGGGATTGCACAAGGAAACGGCCACTGTCACCCAGCTGCACTTCCTGCCTGGCCAGGTACGTGGGTGTCCTGAGGGGGCCTGGCAGCAGCCCCCCGGGACCCCCACACACCCCACTATTATCCCCCCATCCTCAGGGCTGGCTCCTCTCTCTGCTGGATGACAACACAGTGCACCTCTGGGAGGTCTGCCAGAAGGAGGGCTGCTCCCACCTGGAAGAGACGCGCAGCTTCGGCCTCCCGGGACGCCCAGGGTCCGGCAGCACTAAGTACTTGCCTGGGGGGGTCCTGGCCGCTCCCCCGCGGGGCTGCGGCCAAAGCGATACCGCTGCCGGCTGGGAACGGCGCGTGGGAGCAGCCGCCCTGCTCCGGCGGGACGGTGGCCAAGGTCCCCTCAGTGGTGGTGTTTTCTCCACCAAGATCCTCCTCCGATCCCGACAGGGGTGCTGGGGGAATGCAGTGAAGCCCTGGGCTTTTTATAGGTGCTGGTAGGGCCCTGGGATGATTAATGGCTCTAATTGCTGCTAGCACTGAGGCTGTCTGTCCCTGTCTCCAGTCTCCTGGGCCCAAGGGGAATGGGGATGCACGGATGGGGCAGGGAAGGTTCGGGGTCTCTCTGCACGGTGCTCACACAGCCTCCAACCTCCCCCTCCAGCTGCTCCCCCGGCATCACGCGGGTGACGGTGGTCCTGCCGATGTCTGCTGGCACGTTGGTCTGCCTGGGCACCGAGGGCGGTGCCGTGTACTTCCTCACCCTGCCCACTCTGACGCTGCTGGAGGACAAGACCCTCTTCCCGGATGAGATCCTGCAGAGGTGAGAGCCCTGCAGGCCCCGTGTTCCCTCCCCACCACCCCTAGTCCCCCCTGACCCCCTGTGTGTGTGTCCCCCCGCAGTGTCCCCGATGACTACCGCTGCGGGAAGGCGCTGGGGCCGGTGGAATCCATCCAGGAGCACCCACGTGACAGCAGCCGGCTCCTCATCGGGTACAGCCGGGGGCTGGTGGTCCTCTGGGAGCAGAGCATGCGTGTTGTCCAGCACCTCTTCCTGGGGAACCAGGTACCAGGGGCTGACGGGGGGCTGGCAGGGCTGTGTGGCAGGGCTGTGGCCTTGTGTGTGTGTCCCCATCCTGGTGCTGAACCCCCCGTGTACCCCCACAGCAGCTGGAGAGCCTGGCCTGGGAGCAGAGCGGGAAGAGCATCGTCAGCTCCCACAGTGACGGCGGGTACATGGTGTGGGCGGTGAGCGGCACCGGCCAGAGGACCCAGCAGCCCGTCATGTCCACCATCCCCTACGGTATAGGACGGGGATCTGGGGGCCCTTGGGCTGGGAGCTGATCCCCCCAACTTGGTGCCACAACCACAGGGTTGGTGTCTTTCAGGTCCTTTCCCTTGCAAAGCCATCAGCAAAATCCTCTGGCGCACCTGCGAGTCGGGGTACGTGGGTGGGCTGGAGGTGGGCACAGGGGGCACGAGGGGGGTCCAGGGTCTGATGGAAGCTGCTTCTTCCCACCCAGGAACCCCTTCATCATCTTTAGCGGGGGGATGCCGCGGGCCAGCTACGGTGACCGGCACTGTGTGAGCGTGCTGCAGGGCCAGAGCCTGGCCACGCTCGACTTCACCTCCCGCGTCATCGACTTCTTCACCGTGCAGGGCGCGGAGGTGCCCGAGGGAGGTACGTGCAACTGGGGCCACCCTGGGGAGCTGGTGATGGTGTGGGGGTCTCTCCTTGCAGCCATCTCCCCTCTCCCCAGGCTTTGAGAACCCCCGAGCCCTCGTGGTGCTGGTGGAGGAGGAGCTGGTGGCCATCGACCTCCAGACGCCAGGCTGGCCCACCATCCCCGCCCCGTACCTGGCACCCCTCCACTCCTCTGCCATCACCTGCTCCTGCCACGTCTCCAATGTGCCCCTCAAGCTCTGGGAGAGGATTGTCAGTGTTGGCGAGCAGCAGAGCCCCCGGCAATCCTCTGCGGTCAGTGACAGGGGTGGTGGGGAGGGAGACCCCTGAGCCTCCAAGGCTGGGCTGGTGGGCTCCATCCCTCCCTCCCTCCCTCCATCCCCTCTCCATCCCTCCCTCCAGGCTTGGCCCATTGATGGGGGGAAGAACCTGGCCCAGGAGCCCACGCAGAGGGGGCTTCTCCTCACTGGGTGAGTGGCCTGGCAGTGGGAGGGGGGTCTGGGAAACTCAAACCTTGGGGGACACACATCCTCACCCCTTCCTGCGGTGGGGGATTGGGATAGAGTGGTGGTGAGGCCCAGCCACTCTTGCTGGGTGGGCTGCCCTTCCTCGTTCAGCTTGATTGCTGGGCATGAGTGTGTCATCCTCTGTGCTGTCCCCCCTTGTCCCCCCCTCTGGCACGGTGGCTGCCAGCACACAGGCAGCTCTTGTTAGCCGGGCAGATGTCGGGGCCCCGTGCTGACAGGGCCCCCCCGTGCAGGCACGAGGACGGCACGGTGCGGTTCTGGGATGCCTCAGGGGTCTCCCTGAAGCCCCTCTACAAGCTGGGCACCGCCAGCATCTTCCAGACAGACTGTGAGCACAACGACAGCCTCAACCAGGCGGGCGAGGAGGAGTGGCCGCCGTTCCGCAAGGTGAGGTGCCCAAGGCAGGGGGGCACTGCCATGGACCCCAGCACCCCCCTGGCTCTGCCAGCACAGAGGGGGGCAAGTCCAGAGGCGGGCACGGGGGGTGCACCTGCCGGAGCCGTCCCGGCTGCGCCCCGGGGACGTGTCCCCCGGCTCAGGGCACAGCTGCCGTGTGACGCACCGTGGGGACACAAGGGGCGTTTGTTCCGTGTGCCCCATCCCGCGGGTCTGCCCTGGTGGAGGGGGAGAGTCGGGGGGTGCGTGGGGACAGACCTTCCCTGGGCGTGATGCCATGTGCCACAGCTGCTGGGAGGACGTGGGGGTGCAGCTGGGGGCCCACCCCACAGCTGTATGAAGGGTCCCAGCCCCCCTTCACCTGTCCCCCCCCCACACAGGTGGGCTGCTTTGATCCCTACAGCGACGACCCACGTCTGGGCGTGCAGAAGATCGCGCTCTGCAAGTACACGGCCAAGATGGTGGTGGCAGGCACAGCAGGGCAGGTAGGGCAGGGAGAGCAGAGCGGGGGCTGCCGGGAACCTCTCAGCTCCCCACTTGGAGACCCGCAGCATGGCGGGGGCTGCAGACCCCACAGACCCCCATGGCTGTCCCCGAAAGGCTCCTACTCGCGGGGTTTAGCCCCTGGCATGCTGCAAGGGGACTGTCTGGAGGGTCCAGCGTGTGTCCCGCCATCCATGCTTGTCCCTGCAGGTGCTGGTGATGGAATTGAGTGACGAGAAGTCGGAGCACGCGGTCAGCGTGGCCACAGTGGACCTGCTGCAGGACCGTGAGGGTTTCACCTGGAAGGGCCATGACCGGCTGGCCCCCCGGAATGGCCCCCTGCACTTCGCCCCCGGCTTCCAGCCCAGCGTGCTGGTGCAGTGCGTCCCCCCTGCCGCCGTCACCGCTGTCACCCTCCACTCCGAGTGGAACCTCGTGGCCTTTGGCACCAGCCACGGCTTTGGGCTCTTCGACTATTACCGGCGCAACCCCGTGCTGGCCAGGTATGGGGGCTCTCGGTGCTGGGGACACCCCAGAGCGACGTGGTGGGGTCTGGGTGCTGAGCAGCATCGGTGCCCGCAGGTGTACCCTGCACCCCAACGACTCGCTGGCCATGGAGGGGCCCCTGTCCCGCGTGAAGTCCCTCAAGAAGTCCCTGCGCCAGTCCTTCCGCCGCATCCGCAAGAGCCGAGTGTCCGGCAAGAAGAGACTCAATGCCAGCAGCCCCTCCAGCAAGGTGGGCAGGGAGCAGGGGCCACCACGGCGGGTCCCTGTCCCCGCCAGGCAGGGACTGACCCCGTGTCCCCCTCCCCAGGTGCAGGAGGCCAACGCGCAGCTGGCGGAGCAGGCGGGGCCCCCCGAGGTGGAGATGACGCCGGTGCAGCGGCGGATCGAGCCCCGCTCGGCCGATGACTCGCTCTCGGGGGTCGTGCGGTGCCTCTACTTTGCCGACACCTTCCTTCGCGACGGTGAGACCCCCCTCCCTCGCCGGGAAAAGCCCCTGAGCTGGGTCTGGCTGGTGCCATGCCATGGGGAGGGGGCTCTGACACTGCTCCCTCCCCTGCAGCCGCCCACCACGGCCCCACGATGTGGGCAGGGACCAACTCGGGGTCGGTGTTCGCCTACGCCCTGGAGGTGCCGTCGCAGGAGAAGTTCTCGGAGCGGGCGGTGGAGGCGGTGCTGGGGAAGGAGATCCAGCTGATGCACCGGGCGCCAGTGGTGGCCATTGCAGTGCTGGATGGGCGGGGGAACCCCCTGCCCGAGCCCTATGAGGTGTCTCGGGACCTCGCCAAGGCCCCCGACATGCAGGGCAGCCACTCCATGCTCATCTCTTCAGAGGAGCAGTTCAAGGTGAGCGTGGGATTCATTGTCCTGCTGTGGAAGGGATGGGACACAACATGTCCTGCGTCCCCATTGTGCAGGAACAGGGCTGGAGGTGACCAGCCAAGTCTGGGAGCCCTCCTATGCCTCTCCCTGGAGTGGTTGATCCAAGGGGAAAGTGCTGCCTTTTGCTAAGGGCAAAGGTAGCCACCAAAACCCCACAGGTTCCTGTTCCCCTCTGACACCTGGCTCCTCTCCCCCTCCCAGGTCTTCACGCTCCCCAAAGTGAGTGCCAAGACCAAGTTCAAGCTGACGGCACACGAGGGCTGCCGGGTGCGGAAGGTGGCCCTGGTGAGCCTGGCCAGCACCAGCGCTGGCTCTGAGGAGCGGCTGGAGAACTGCCTGGCCTGTCTCACCAACCTGGGGGACATCCACATCTTCACTGTGCCCAGCCTGCGGCCCCAGGTCCACTACGGCTGCATCCGCAAGGAGGACATCAGCGGCATTGCCTCCTGTGTCTTCACCAAGCATGGCCAAGGTGAGGGCACCAGGTGACATCCCATGTTGATGGGACGCTGTCCTTTGCTGCAGCCTCCTGAGGCTCCCTTTTGTCTCCTCTCTAGGTTTCTACCTAATTTCGCCGTCCGAGTTCGAGCGCTTCTCGCTGAGCGCCAGGAACGTGACGGAGCCGCTGTGCCGGCTGGAGGTCGCCCGGCTCCAGGACACCTCCTGCCTCAGGTGGGACGTGCCCTGGGGGTGTGGGGGGCTTTGCTGTGGCAGCAGCCCTGTACACCCACCCCATTGGCACCGGCTCTGGATGTAACTTGTCCCGTTCCTTCCAGCAACAGCTTGATGGCGACACCGAAGCTGCCACAGGCGAACGGCACCCACGTCCCGCGCAGCCCTGAGGGCCGGCACTCCCCCTCTGACAGTGACCGTGAGTGATCCCCGTCCCAGCACTGACACCATGTCCTGTGGGCTCTGCTCTGGGGCCGGCTCCATGGCCTGGCTGCCTCCAATCTCTCCCGTCCCCATCGCTCTCCAGGGTCCCCCGAGGAGCACTTGGCTGCCTTCTCGCCTGGCCCCATTGACTCCCCCAACAGCAGCCTGGAGAACCCGCTGGACACCACCGGGGACACCACCGTGGAGGAAGTGAAGGATTTCCTGGCGTGAGTGGGGTGGGAATGGGGTGACTGGTGCCAAGGGGCTGTGGGAGTGCCCTCAGCCACCCCTGACCCTGCTCTGCCCCAGGTCCTCAGAGGAAGCAGAGCGGAACCTGAGGAATGCCAGTGAGGACGAGGCCCGGCCCACGGGGATCCTCATCAAGTGAGGTCTGTGAGAGGCTGGTCCCTGGGGTGGGAGTGCAGTTTGGACCTGGGAACCCAATGCCACGCCCCGGCATCCAAATTCCTCATGGGAGGAATGGGAATGTGCTGTGGTCCCTGGGGCTTGTGGAGGAAGGGGAGCGGGGGGGACGTGTGTCCCGGGCCCCCCTGGTCCCCTTCTCAGGGGCTGTGTCCCCCACAGGCATTGCTGGCCTCCCTGACCCATCTCAGTGCTCGGATTCCCGGGATGCGCGACTCGACTGGACCCCCCGCGCCCCCTCCCCATGTAACGTAGACTCGCCTCTTCTCTAACACCGCCCCGGCTCCGGCACCTTCCCCCCACACCTCCCTGCCTGGCCGCCGGCCCTGGACCCCTGAGCTGGGCCTGTGGGGCACAAACTCTTCCCGGGGAAGATATTTTTCTTTTTTATACACGGTCAAGTGTCATTGTCCCCTGCTCCAGAGCCCCCTTCCTGGGGGATGCTGCTGCTTCCCTGGCTCCGTGGGGAGGGCTGGGGCTCGTGGGATCCCCCTTGTCCGCCGGTTTTGGTCCCTCGGGGAGGTGGGGGACCGGGAGCCCCTGGGCACGGCCCCCCCATACCCTGGTCTGTGTTTACATGCCCGGCTCCCTGCAGTTTACAGGCCCGTCCCCTGCCAGCTCCGGCTGCCATACAGGGACTGTCTCCTTCCTAGGGGAGCCCAGCAGGGACCCCCTGGCTCCCAAGCAGGCACTGGAGGCCTTGAGCAGCCCGGGGAGGGGCACAGTGGGGGGTCACAGGTGGCCTTTTTCTCTTAGTGGCTTCTCCAAGGGCTATTCTCCAGGTTGGGCTCTGTGCCTGCTGCTCCTTTCTGACACTAATTCCTGCCACGGGTGGGTTTGGGATGGGATCATGCTGTGGGAATACACACCAGCTCCTGGTCCTGGTCCGTGTTGGTGCTGGGCGGGGGGGGCAGATGGGGCTGCCCCAGCTCCCTCCTGCCCCAGGCTGGGCTGCCCCACCCTGGGGGTCTCACTGTGCCAAATCCCCCCTGGGCTCTGAGCCCAGCCTTGCCCTCCCAGGGGGCTGTGGTGATGCCGGCTCTGTCCCCTGGCCCATGGTAGCTGTCCCCATGGGGCTCAGCCTGGTCCCTGCCCCTCTCTTTTTGGGGATCCAGGGCCGTCGTGGCCCCCCCACGGGCTCTCTTGCGGTACATGTGTGGCTGAGGGGGTCGGGCTCTGTTGCTGCCGGCCGAGGCCGGGGCTGTAGCGTCCCTGGTAGAACCCCCCACACACCTCATCCTTGTTTTTTTGTTTTTTTTTTCTGTTGGTTTTTTTTTTTTTTTTTGGTAAGATGAATTTAGCATTGTTTAGTTATTAAAAATACTGGTTTTTAATATTGAAAATAAAGCATTTAATATCAACTGCCCGGGCTGCAGGTGTTCGGGGAGCCTTGGAGCCAGGTGAGTGCTGGGATTCCCCTGAGGGGCATGATCAGGGTGGGGGGGACCCCACTTGGGAGTGAGACAGAGCCTGAGACAGTGTCGGGGTGAGAAGTGCAGCCTTTATTGATATGATCCTGATGGGCTGATCCCTGCCAGGGTTCCATCCCCCAGGACAGCTGTACATCCCCCAGCTGTAAGGCCCAGGGCTGAGAGCCCCCGGCTCTCCCCAGTTCTCCTTAGCAAAGCGTCCTCCCCCCAAACTGGGAATCGCTCCTGCCCCCCAGTTGCAGGGGGAGCTCGGCACTGGTTTGGGGCAGCAGCATCCCCAAGCAGGGCATAACAGGGGCCCCCCTGGAAGGGGAGGGGCCCTGTGTCAGGAGAAGGGGGGGACAGAGCCCCAGCGCTCCCCACCGGCCCCGGCTCGGGGGGAAGCGGCTCCAAGCCGAGCCTGGCTGGGAGCAGGCGTGTGCGGCAGCGCAGGGTGCCGGGATCCGGCCGTGCCCGGGGGGCTGTGGCCGGAGCACCGGGTGCCCCCAGTCCTTAGGCGGGTGGTTTGCGGAACACACTCCAGGCGTGGAAGCAGCGGGTGAAGGGCCAGGGCTCGTTGCCTTTCCGCACCAGCCGGAGCTTGCGGGGCCGTGTGGGGTCCTTGGAGCGCATGTGCTGGATGTAGACCTGGGGCAGAGCACAGCCGTGGGGGTCCCCAGCCCTCGCCCACCGCCAGGGCTGGCATTCCCTAGCCCAGGAGTTCTGCACCACCCTGACCAGGGCCTCGAGGGGAGATGGAAGTGCCCAAATCCTCCCTCCCACAGCCCCAAGGTGGAGAAGGAGGGAGGCCTTACCTGGCATGCCTTGAGGCTCAGTTTGATCTCCACCTGGCTGGTCTGGGTGCCCACCCACATGTAGACCTGCGGGAAGGACCAGCAGCCGGGCTCAGCACATGGAGCCGCTGGAAGATCCAAACCCAGGAGAGCCTCCTGCCCCCAGCTCACCTCTCGCCCGTTGTCCAGCAGCATGATGTCATCATCAGCCAGATCATCCTGGCAGAAATCTGAGCACTTTTCCGACACGGAGAAATAACCCTTCTCATTGGAGCACCTGTGGGGAGAGCCAGAAGGGGACAGCATCAGGCATGAGTTTGCTAGGACTCAGCTCCTGCAGAGGGAATGGACGTGATGGAGCAGCTCTGTTTTGATTTGTTGATTCCCAAGGGATGGACAGAGATGGGAGAGGAGGAGCCTGGGCTCTGTGGGACGAAGGAAACCAACAGATTGCAGCAGCCCTCCCTGTGCCAGCACCCACCTGAAGAGCCGAGAGTGCTTCATGTAGTCGGCATCTTCATCATAGGGCTTCTGGCTCCCGATGCCCACCCAGAAGAAGTTTTCGGGTTCTTCTCCCTCGCTGATGACCTGTGAGGGCAGGGACAGGGCTGAGCATGGCCTGGGTGGTCCCTGTCACTCAGGTAAGCTGGTGCTCAGCCCCACTCACCTGTTTGCTGTAGGAGTCATCAAACATGTGGTTCATGATGTCCTCGGCCAGCTTGGCCTCGTCAGGGTCGGCCGCCCGGCCCACCCACGTGTAGACAATGCCTTGGTTGTCTGTGCTCTCAAAGGGCACCTGGGGAGCACAGAGTCAGGGCTGCCCAGGGGGCAGGAGGGCACACAGGCACCCCTGAGGATGCTCAGCCCCGAGCAGTACCTTGAGGATGAAGCAGAACTCGGAGTTGAGCAGACCAGCGTCCGTGTTGATCTGGATGCACCTAGAGAAGGAGCCCCCGAGGCACAAATCAGCAAGAGACCCGGCAGCTGTGCCCACCGGTGGGTATCCCACCTGGACCCTGGAACGTGTGGGTGCTGCCTGGCCTGGAGCAGCCCCTGGAGCACTGACCTGGTGCAGAGGGCCCCGCCGTTGGTGCGGATGTGGTAGAGGCTGGGCTGGGGAGGGCTGGCCCGCTCCTTCCGCTTGCCCCGGTGGATCACAAACCTCCTCTTGAAGTGAGAGAGGAACTTGGGGTTCTCCTGCTGCTGGGTCATGCGCACCACCTGGACAGGGGTGGGTGTCAGCAGGGCCATGGGGACCCCCCAAACGCAACCCCAAGCTCCAGCTCCACCCCCCTGCCAGCCCCCATCTCTTCTGCTGTCCCCTGCCCTCAGCCTTGGAAGCAGAGAGGGGTACCCGTGTCACCCGAGAAGCTGCGTCACCTCCAGCTTGCCAGGGAAGAGACTCTCAAACTTCTTCTGGAGGCTGAAGGTGAAGGTGAGCCAGCCCATGTTGGAGGCCTCACGGCCCTGCCAGAAGTAGACGATACACTGGAAGTCTTCCTCGGGCTGCTTCTCCTCCTCCTCTTCCTCACCCTCCTCCTCCCCTTTGCCTTCACCCTTCTTCTTCTTCTCCTCATCCTCCTCGTACTCCACTGGCACCCAGTACCTGAGGGCCGGAACAGGGAGTGTTGTGAAGGATGGGGCAGGCTGGGGGCCTGGGCAGGGAGATGGGGGACAAAGTGGTCCAACAGCCCGAGTGGGCACAAGCTGGGTGTCACCTGCACAGGAAGACGTAGCAGTCGTGGGTATGGAAGTGGCCGAACTCCTCCTCAGGCAGGCGAGCGAATTTCTTGCCCTCCAGCACGAAGCCCTCCATGCCATCCAGGTCCTCGTTCCACTCCTCCATCAGCTGCTCTGCCTGTGACCCCACATGCTCTGTCAGACCTCCAGCCCCTCCACGAGCACCCGGCCCATGCTGGGGGGGACTCACAGGAGCCCCTAGCCCTACCTCGCTGAGGGGCATGGGGGGCTGCCGGGGCAGGAAGAGCGCCGTGAGGTCGGCCTTCATCTGGTCCTTCTTCTCGGCGTCCTTCCGGACCTTGCCGGCCAAGCCACCATCCTGCAGCACCGTCTCGGCATTGCGGGTGTAATCCACACGCAGGACGTCATCCCAGTTCTTGAACTTGGACTTGAACACCTAAACCACAGAATCATTAAGGTTGGAAAAGACCTCCAATATCATTGAATCCGACCTCTGACCAATCACCACCTAGTAACTAGGACAGAGCACGGAGTGCCACATCCCGTCGTTTCTGGAACACCTCCAGACGCTCAAGGTGTAAATTGGGGAGCAGATAACACACCCTGGGCCACAGCACCCTCCCTGGCGCCCAAGCACCCCATCCAAGGGGTCTGTGTCCTACCTGGCACTCGGTGCCCTCGAGGTTCCTGGTGACCATGGCGTGCTTGGGCCGGTGCAGCATGGTGCACAGCTCCTGGCTCAGCTTCAGCGCCGCCGCCCGCACCAGCCGCGATGACTTCCTCCCGATCCAGATGAAGACATCAGACCAGCAGTCCAGGATGTACACGCTCTTGGTGTCCAGCAAGCTCTGCAGCTGAGGGCATCCCAGGGAAGAGAGGGTCAGGCATTCCCAGCTGGAAAACACCCTGCCTGCTCCCAACAGCGGGGAAGAGCAGAGCATCCCCTAGCCGGGCGCTGCTGGCCGAACCTGCCTCTCCCAGGGCACAGCTGGAGGCAGAGGGGGCATGAAACCAGTTTCACTGGTCAGACTGGGAGAACCTCCCCGCCCCATCCTACCAGGCGCATCTCTGGCATCAGATCAGCCTTCAGCCTCTTCTTGTGCTCCACCGAGAGCCTGTAATTGATCTGGGGCAGCTCCAGGTAGCCCAGACCGAGGCCGACCTGCGGAGGGGACAGGGACACAGGTGAGGGGGGGCTGCAGGACCCCAGCAGTGCCCACAGCCCAATGGATACAGCTCCCCACCTTGTACAGCTTGGGCTTGTGGGGCTGGAAGTCATCAGGGACACAGGGCCGGATCTCCTCAGGCTGCCCCCCCAGTGCTTCCCAGAACTCAGGAGTCTCCTGGCCCTGGGTGAGCAGCGTGATCTCGGCCTTGCCCTTCCGCTCGTTCTTGTTGATCTTCTCGGCGAAGAGCCTGTGGCAGCAGCAGGTGAGATGGCAGCTGGGCTCCCCACACCCCCAGCCCCCTCACCAGCCCTACCTGGCCTTGGTGGTGCTGCTCAGCGTGGCCTGTCTCCCACGCCACACCATGAGGTCGAGGCCGTGGTCCAGGAGGAAGACAAACCTGGTGGAGACAGGTGAGAAGAGTTAGGAGAGAGTGGGGTGCACCAAGTGACCCCTCACCCCGGGGGGTCCCCGCAGGGCATCACATCTGCCAAGTGGGGTTTGGACCCACATCATTGTAGGAAGGTGCTGGAATGGCCCATTTTTACCCCAGAGCTGCAGCTACGCTGTCTCAGGTGGACCCTGCTGCACTTTCTGCAGGGACTTGGTGTCCCCTGGTCACTCACCGGGGGTCCAGTGATGTCCCTTTCAGTGCCACTGGCTCCAGCTTGACATTCTTCTTCCCGTAGACACGGTACAGCCTGGGGGAGGGACAGCCATGGTGGGACATGGGGCACTGCCTGCCCCACACATCCCCTGTCCCCAGCAGTACCTGGTGACATATTGTGTGTCCTCAACGGTGAAGAAGCCGCTGGCTGTGCCACCCTCGATGTAGGAGATGTCGTTGTCAAAGACCTGGGGGCAAGGAGGGGGTGAGGGTGGGAGAGGAGGGGCTGGGGGCTACAGGGGAGCCAGGGGCTGGCCTCACATGGAGGAACTCTTCGCTCTCGTCCCCCATCTCCTCCCGGATGCACCGGCACTCGGCCCCCAGGTAGTTGCGGAGGTTGACGGCGTGGATGGCAGAACAGGCCTTCTTGTCCAGTGTGGACTCCTGCCCGATCCAGTAGTAGATCTCCCAGTTGAGGGAACCGTTCTCATCCAGGAAGGTCTGGGAAAGGACAGGGTGTGAGATGGGACAGCTGCATCCTCAGGTTGGGGATGTGGGGGACCCTCAGTCCTCCCCGGCTACCTTGAGCACGATGTAGCAGTCGGCCTCGTAGAACTTGCCGTGGAAAGCCTCGTCCACCAGCGTGGGCACGAAGTTCTCGATCTGCCAGACACAGAGGCCAGGCAGTTGCCCCACGTCCTCGCTGAAGAACTCCGAGTAGTCCAGCTGTGGCTTCTCCAGGCCCTGGTCCCAGCGCCTTGTCTTTAGGTCCGGCGCCTTTGCCTCCCCGCTCTCCTGTGGGACGGGGCCAGGTCAGCAAGTTGGGAACAACCGGGTCCCTGCTGGCACACGGGGTGGGCCAGGGTCACTGTGATGCCCTCGGGGCCCCTCTCCCACCTCTATCTTCTTGTTCTTCTCCTGTGCCACGTCTGACATCCCCTTCAGGACCTGCTTGGCCTGGTCGTCCTGGGCAGAGTCCTTGCGCCGCCGGAGCCGCATCTTGCGGGCCAGTGGGTCCTTGGTGCCGCTCCCTGGGGACACAGGGACGGGGTGAGAGGCAGCCAGGACACCTGTGGGGCACCCTATGGAGCACAGCTCATTTCCCAGGCTCTCCAGGGGCTGTCCCCCCCATCCCTGCACACTGACCTGCAGCAGCGGCAGCGGCGACAGTGGCTGGGGAGGCTCCGGCCAGGCGGAGCTGGTTCTGCAGGGAGAAGTCGATGTTGTACCACTCCGAGGTCCGATCCACCGGCTTTGGGGGCATCACCAGGTTGGGGTTCTCGCGGACATCCAGGATCTGCCAAGGAGAGGACAGAGACCTCAGTGCTCTGAAGCACCTGCTTGCAGGGACATCGAGGATGTGGCGTGGGATGGAGACCTCCAGAGCACCCTGGGCTTTGGTGAGGTGAGGGGATGTGGAGGGAGCCCCAAATCCTCCCCCTGCCTGGGCAGAACTGTGTGCCAGAGTGCCCCCCTGACCTCACTTCACCCACCCCACCCTACAGCCCTGGGATCCCAGGGATGCACTGGGGCTGTGGTGCAGCCAGCCCAAGGCAGGGGAGGGCCGGGTGCTCACCTCCACATCTGTCAGGAAGTGGATGGCCTCTGGCAGTGTCACCAGGCGGTTCTTGTTCAGCACCAGCTTCCTCAGCTTGGAGCACCTGTGGGACAGCGATGCTGGTGATGGGCCAGCCCAGGGTGACGTCCTGTCACCACACAGTCTGTGTGTCCCCTCTTGGGATCCAGCTGTGGGCTGTTTTCTACCTGCACAGGCTCTCAGGGATGAGCTCCAGGTTGTTGTTGGCCGCCATGAACTCCTCGAGGTTGGTGAGCTTGCCAATGCCCGAGGGGATCCCGTCAAAGTCCAGCTTATTGGAGTTCAGGTACATCTTCTTCAGCTTGGTCAGCTTGCAGATGGCCGACTGGGGAAGGGGGAGAAGGCGAGGTGAGGGAGAACCATGGAAGCACGGGCAGGGATAGCACGTATGGAAAGGGACATACAGGTAAGGAGGTGAGCGCGTTGCGGGACAGGTTGAGGGTCTCCAGCTGGGTCCACTGGTCGATGCAGAGGGACAGCTCCGTGATCTGGTTGCTGCTGAGGTTGAGGCGCCGCAGGCTGCCCAGGGTGTAGAGGCACTCGGGGACACGGCTGAGGTCGTTGCAGGACAGGTCCACGTCTGGGGGATGAGACAACACGGTGACACCACCAGCCAGACCCATACCAGGGCTGGGAGAGCCCCTGCAGGGCTCCATGGGGCCCCGGGCCTACCTGCCAGGTTCACCAGGCCCTCGAGGCTGGTGGGCAGGTTGCTCTGCGTGCGCTGGGTGTTCCGGAGGTGGAGGGTCTGCAGGGCTGTCATTGCTGGGAGCTGCCTGCGGAGCACAGGCCAGGGAGAGCCTCAGGATGGGTGGAGCAGGCACCAGCAGACTGGGATCCAGCCTGGAAAGCAGGGCCTTACCGGAGCTGTGCGTGCAGGAGGGGGTTGTTGTTGAGGATGAGGGTCTGGAGGTGGACCAGGCGTCTCATCTGCGGTGGGAGGCTCTCCAGCTTGTTGTCGCTCAGGTCAAGGTAGAGCAGGTCCGTCAGGTTGATGAAGAGCTGGTTGGGGATGGTGTCGATGCTGTGGGAATACGGGGATATGCAGGGCTGCCTGGGAGCTGCACCAGCCCCGGGCCTCCTTCGAGGAGGGGCAGAGAGCAGCACCCGGTGGCAGATGGAGGTGGCCATGGCCAGGGGGAGATGGTCACCCCAGGTCTGGACCCACCTGTTGTGGCCGAGGTTGAGGACCAGCATGTTCTTGGCATTCTCCAGCTCCCGGGGACACTCTGTGAGCTGGTTGTAGCTCAGGTCCTGAGAAATACGGGAGCACAAAGCAGGTGTCACCCCCGGCCCTGCATCCAGCCACCACCTCCCAAACCTGAGGAGGGGCATCTCTGGGGGCACTGCAGCAGGAGCTGGATCAGCATATGGGGAATCCAGCTATGGCTGGAGGCACTGCCAAAGGGTCCTCCAACCCACAGGCAGCTTCCCTGGAGCTCAGGCATGGGTTTGGGACTGGTGCTCCTCAAGAAGAACAAGGGGACACTGAGGTGCAGGAATGGGATTCAGGAGGAGACTCTGTACCCACCAGCACTGAGAGGTCATCCAGCTGGAAGATGTCATCAGGGACTCCTGAGTTCTTTAGGCTGTTTGCACGAGCCACGATGGCCTGGAAAGGGGAGACAGGCAGGAATTCAGCTGCCTGCTGAGCATCCCAAGGCGGCCAGGTACGATCCTTGTGTGCCCCCAGATCCGAGAGGTGCCTGGGGACACCTGGTGCGGGAGGGGGACACTCACCCTGAGGCAGGGCAGGCCAGAGAGCTCTCCATGGAGCGTGGTGAGGCTGTTGTGACTCACGGAGAGATGTTCCTGCAGGGAAGCCCCAAACAAGCCCCAGTGAGAGGAGCCAGGGCTGCTCAGAGCAACAGCTGGGACCCCACATGGATGTGGGGGCTCCTCCATTCCAACAGAACTGGGGACTTGGAAGCCCTGACCCTCACAGAGCTGCTGGGACACTCCCAGTCTCAAACTGGTTGGTTGGCCCCAGCGTGCCCACACTGCCCTCACATCCCTCATTCCTGGGGTAGCCTTGGCTGGGATACCCCAGCCCTGCTTTGGGATGCCACCAGGCTGGCCTGTGGCAGTCCCACACAGTCTCTGAGCAAACAGATCCCAGTCCTTGGAAACGGAAATCAACACTTCTCAAAGGGTGATCTGGAAATGGGCAGACGTGGGGTAGGTGGGGGGTGGGAGGAATCTCCCAGGGGAAACGTTTTCCTCTGGGTATCACCAGCCAGGCTGTTGCCTGCTCATGAAAACAAGGAATTGGCAGGCTGTGGGCGGGATGCCAGGATTTAAGGATTTAAGTCTCGCCGTGTCCCCCGAGCATGTGGCAGGGCCAGGGGGAGCGCGGTTCCGAGCAGCAGGGAGGGATTCCCTGCACCTGGCAAAGGGATGGGGACTCCTGGCAGCGTTTAAAGCGTTGTGTTTGTCTGACTGAACCAACTGAAAGAGGTTCCTGAGGTGCTCCTGGACACCACCAAAGCAAAGCTGAGCCACGGGCTCACCAAGGAGCTCCACCAAGGAAGGGCCTGGTAGAGCCGCCCAAAAAACAAGGCCAGGCAGCTGCCAGCTCCTGCTTATTATATATTTCAGCAGAAGAAGAGGAAGAAAAAGCCCCAAAACCTTAATCCTCTCCACACTAACCACCCCCCTTCCCATCTGTTAAGGGGCATAGGATCTAAGCACGGGTTTTCATCTGGTTTTCTAGGAAAACAAGGTGAAACCAACTACCAGCCTGTCTCAACCCCACTCCTGACAGCTCCTGCATCTGATTTCAACCACACGTCGTAGCTCAGCCCTATTATTAGACACTGGAGCATCCGCCAACGAGCCACAGGGCTGGCAGGGAGCAGGCTCCTATCGGATCCCATGGCTCCAGCGGGACAGTGGAGCCCCATTCCCTCCTGAAACGTGGGGCTCACCAGCTTCTGGAGGGCAGCGAGCTCCTCGGGCAGGTAACAGAGCCCTGTGCGGTTCAGCTTCAGCCAGCGCAGGCTGGTCATGGCCTTCACGTGCTCCGGGAAGTACCCGCCCTGCGGGAGGAGGAGGGTGAGGAGACCCCCTGCCCCGTGGGGTGGGGAACTGGGGACCTCGCTCTGACCGGCCCTGTGTGGCTGGGATTGTCCATTACTATGGGATCAGGAGTTGGGGGGGGCTGGGATCATCCAGTCCCATAAGGTTGGGAACTGGGGGACTGGGATCACCCAGTCCTATGGGACTGGGGGCTTTGGGGCTGAGATCACTTAGTCCTATGGGATTGGGACCTTGGGGGGGTTGGGATCGCCCAGTCCTGTGGGACTGGGAGCTCAGGGCCATGATGACCCAGTCCTATGGGATTGGTAGCTGGAAGCACCCAGTACTATGGTTTTGGGGGTGAGGGACCAGGATTCCCCAATCCCATGGGATTGGTAGCTTGGATCACACAGTCACATGGGATTGGGATCTGGGGGACCAGGACTGCCCAGTCCTATGGGATTAGGAGCTGGGATCACATAGTCCCATGGAATTGGGAACTGGGATTTGGGATCACCTGCTTTCATGGGACTAGGATCTGGAGAGGGTCGGGATCACCTAGTTCTATGGGATGGGGAGCTGAGGGGTTAGGATACCCCAGCACTATGGGGCTGGGGGCCAGAATCCCCCAGTCCAATGGGATTGGGAAGTAGAGGATCGGGGACCACATGTCTCTCTGGGACCCCATGGGGGCCCGCAGGTTCCCCAGCCGTAGAGGGTGGGGGCTCAGGGACCGCCCACCCTGAACATCACCCCCGCTGTACCGGGATTCCCCAGCCCGGGGGGCCGGACCGGGCCTGACAGCGCCGCGCGGGGCCCGGGCTCGCCGATCCCTGTGGCCGGGGCGTCCCCGCTCCCACTCCCGTTCCCTCTCCCCCGCACCTTGAAGTCGTTGCCGCTCAGGTCGACGCCGCGCACGAAGGGCAGGACGCCGGTGGCCGCCATGGCGGAGGGACTGGACGGGACGGGACGGGAAGGGCGGGGCGGGGGGACCCTGCGGAGCCGCGCCCTGACAGGCCCCGCCCCTGGCCCCGCCCCGGCCGTGACGCGCGAAAGCGATTGGGCGGGGCCGGGAGCCACTTCCGCGCGCGGGTGGGCGGGGCCGCGCCTGGCCGCGCCCCCATTGGCTGAGGCCGCGCGGGGGGCGCGCAGTAAGTGCGGGGGGGCCGGGCCCGATCCCGCTCCCTGTTCCGCTCCCGCTCCCGGCGGCGCCGCGGCCCGGCCGCCTCCCCCCGGGCAGCGGGGGGGGTCTCCGTCCCGGTCCCTCCCGGAGCGCGCGGTACCGCCCCAGCGCCGCCGGTGCCCTCCGGGGCGGCTGCGGCAGGGCCGGGTGAGGAGCGGGTGACCCTTCCCCGGCATGAGCGGTTTTTCCCCGCGGTGTCCCTTCCTTCCCTAAAATGTCCTTTCCTTCCCTAGGGTGTCCCTTCCCCGGGATACCCGTTTTCCGGGGTGTCCCTTCCTTCCCTGGCGTGTCCGTTTCCCGGGGCGCCCCTTCCTTCTTTGGGGTGTCCCTTCCTTCCCTAGGGTGTCACTTCCCCGGGATGCCCCCTCTTTCCCTGGGGTGCCCCTTCCTTCCCCGAGGTGCCCATTTTCCCTGGTGACCCTTCCCCGGGGTGACCCTTGCCCCTCCGCCCCACCCAGCCGTCCCGCCGCCGACAGGAGCCTTTGCCCCGGGGGTGGAGGGAAGCGGGACGGCGGAACCTCCCGCTCCCCCAAAAAACCTCCCTCCCCGCGGGCTGTGCCTCCGCGGCCCCGGGTGACCCCCGTTGTTCCCCGCAGGGCGGCCATGGCGGCGTTCTGGCAGCAGCGGGGCCGGCGGCAGGAGCACGGCGGGCTGGGCGGTCTCATCGACGGGCTGGGCAGCGTGTTCGATGTGCTGCTGGCCAACGCCAGGCTGGTGCTGGGCGTCAGCGGCGCGGCCGTGCTGGCCATCGCCACGCTGGCCGTCAAGAGGGTAAGGCTGGCACCCGCGGGAGCAGGGTCAGGATTGCTGCCTGGGTCTCCAGTGTGGTGGGGAAAGATGTGCCACAAACCTGGCTGGCTGCTCCCGAGCTGGTCCCTTGCATTTGGCACAAATGCCCACCGGTGCTGGCAGCAGTGCTGTGGGCGTGGAGCTGCCCATTCCCACCGTGAACAGCCCCTTGCTCCATTTGCCTGGAGCAGCATGCACCTGGGATACAGTATCCCATCCAGAAAGGCACCTGGGGCTTAAGGCATATTTGGGCATTTGTTTTCCACTTAAAATTCACGGGAAGAAGATGTGCACTTTTGTGGCCCCCCAAACTCAGTGTTTTTCCAAGTGGAAGCCTCACATGGGGCTGTGTCCCCCCTTGTGTGCACCAGAGGGGCTGTTGTCACCTGTAATTCAGAGGAAACAAAGATAATGACTTATCCTTGTGGGTTTTCCTTCTCTCCAGCTGATCGACCGAGCCACCAGCCCTCGGGATGAAGGTGATCCCAAAGCCGAGCAGAAGACCCTGGAGGAGACCTGGCAGGACTTGGCCTTGATCAAGACTACACCAAAGTCCCCCAAGAAGCAGAAAAGGGAAGACCTCAGCGAGCCCCTGCTCTCCCCAGCTCGGCCACTGGTGCCAGGTGAGGCTCAGGGTGTCCAGCTGGGAAGATCACCTTGCTGTGCTCTGGGCTGGCTGTGCCTTGCTCCACCACTCTGGGAGCTCTGTGTTATTTTTAGCTCGGTGTCCGGGAAGCAGACCCAATGGAGCCTGCCCTCCTGGGAGGCTCCTGAGCCATGGCCCCTTTTTAGGCAATGCCTGTGGAGACAGGAGCTCTGATAACACCCTGGGTGTCCTGGCCAGTGCAGCACGGCAGGGGCTGGTGGGGTTTGTCTCCTCTGGAGTGGTGTTGGCTGCCCTCGTTTTCTGGGTCAGCTCTGCCTGCAGGAAGGTGCACTCGGGAGCTGCTGCAGACAAAGGCTGCCTTGTCCAGCTGCCTACAGAGACGGTATTTTTCCAAGTGGGAAAGCGGCCTGGCTCAGTGCAGGGCAGGTCCTGAGATACGGACCTGGGGCAGGATCATTTGCAGGACTCTCATGAGGGGCAGCACAGATCTCTTCACTCTGGTAACCAGTGACAGGACCCGAGGAAATGGCTGGAGCTATGTCAGGGGAGGTTTAGGATATTAGGAAAAGTTTCTTCCCCCAGAGGGTGGTGGGGCACTGAACAGGCTCCCCAGGGCCCTGGGGCTGACAGAGCTCAAGGAGTGTTTGGGCAACACTCTCAGGGACATGGTGGGATGAGCACCCTTGGCTGCAGCAGAAGCTGCTGCTGTGGGTCACAGATGATCTGCCCAGAGCTGTGACTTCTCCCTTCCCTTCTCACAGATCCCAGGGCATGCTCTGCCTCTGTGGGGGCTCCTCGGGTGAAGTCCAGCCCTCTGCGCTGCCTCACGCTGCAGGAGAAGCTCCTCTCACACCACAGCAGCCGTCTGGCCGTGCCCGAGATCCAGGTGTCCCTCGTCCCTCAGCTGGCCAGGAGCATCAGCACCCAACTGCAGAACTTCCTGCGGAGCAAGTGCCCAGAGCTGCCCTTCGGCCGCCTCTTCCTCAGCGGAGCCCTCCTGGACGGCCTGGAGGTCCTGGCAGCCGACCACATCCACCTCATGCTGCCCGTGGTCCTCGACACCGGGCTCTGGAGCCTCATCCCAGGAGAGGACACCGTGGTGAGGAACCCCCAGTACTGGATGATCAAGAGGGTCGATCTGGGGTATTTCCCCCGTGGGTGCAGCCCCTGGGACAGGTTTATGGTGGGCCGGTACCTCTCCTCCAACGTGCTCAACGAGACCCTCCACAAGATGCTGGTGGCCTCCATCAACTGGCCTGCCATCGGCGGCCTGCTGGGATGTGTCATCCACCCCGTCGTGGCCTCCCGGGAGCTGAAGCTGGAGGTCAAACATGATCAGGTCGAGCTGAGCATCACCCTCCTCCCAGTGGTGGAAATGGAGGACAAGGTTCTTCTGGCTGTTCCTCCTGAGGGACTGGTGGAAAACCTCTGGCTCGAGAGCTTTTACAGGGCAGAGGTCTCGAAGGTGAAGGAGCTGGATGCCGGCGACTCCGGGGCTCGGCAGCGCTGCCTCCGCATCCTGAACGGTGTCTGCAGGAGCCACCCCACCCTGCACAAACTGGGGGGCAGCCCCGTGACCCACGTCATCCTGCACCTCAGTGACTCCGGCTCCGACTGGGCAGAGGAAAGCCTGGCTGACAGGTTCCAGCAGGTGCTCGAGGAGCTGGTGGCCTACCTGGAGAAAGGGGTCCTGCCTTCCTATTTCAACCCCAAAATCAACCTGTTCTCCGGGCTGTTGGAGGAGGAAATCGATGAGATGGGCTTTGTGCTCTACAGGGCCATGTCTGAGCCAGAGCTCCTGCTGGAGTGACCAGTGCGTCGGGAGCTCCCGGATGTGGGATGTTCCTCACCCGCCTGCTGCTCCCTGCTGTGAGGGCTGCCATGCTTCTAGTTGACTAGTCAGTAAGAGGCAAAGTTCTTGCACTTTATGAGAAAAAAAAAATATGGTTCCTGTGTGAATAAAACGGGCCTGAGCAGAGGTGGGTGTTGGCAGAAGGAGCCTTTGGCTGGGAGGCTCTGCCAAACCCGGGGCGAGGGCAGCCCAAACCTGGAGTACCCACAGGTGAGTCCCGTGTGCTGGGAGCCAAGGGAAGCATGTTTACTCTCTGGTTCCCAGTGTCCTCTGCCTGTCCCAGCTGTCAGGCTCCCCTTGTGCTCCCAGACCAGCTGGAGCTGGAGGGGAGCAGCTCCTTCCTGCTGCTGTGTCCTGCAGGCCCCTCAGGTGCAGCGCCCTGGGTGGGTCCTTTCACCAGCACTTGGTCTTACTGTGCCAGCACTTGGGACAGGGTGGCAGAGCCTCACCTGCCTGTAGGATATTGCCAATCCAAAATATGCCCTATGGATGACCTGGGTGGTTGTCTGGGCACTGGGTGGTACGGCCATAGCAAATGGGGCTGGGGGTTTATTCCTTGGAAACCTTTTCAGCTGCCAATAGGAGTGAGCTCAGCTCTACCTCTTTGTTCCCCCCGAGGAAGGGGTTTGTTTCCAGCACGGAGCTGGAGCTTCATGGCTCTTTTCCCACGCAGTGTTTTGCTGGAAGATGTCCTGAAAAAGAGCTGCTGGCTCTGGGGAGGCTCCTGGTGTCAGTCCCTTGGAGGCTGCAGCAGGGCTGTGTCCCCTCCTCGGTGGGTAGGTGGCTGCCAGTGTCTGTCTGTGGGTACAGTGTCACTTCCAGTCTGCTGGTCACCTTTTCACACATGTATTGCTGCTGTCTTGAGGTCCTTTTTCCCTGGAGCCCCACGATATGGGGTGGGGAAGCAGGGCAGGAATGATGCTGTAAGCAGAGTGCTTGCAAGAACTGAAGTGGTTTGTGCTTTTTATTAAGAAAATATGTTTTGTTTGGGTGTTTTGTTTGGGTATTTTGTTGGGGTTTTTTGGTTTTCTTTTTGAGTGGCTGCTAGTAGGGTTTGGTCTGGCTCTAGTCCCAGGGCAAAGGAATTTATTCTTATATTTAATGGGAGGAGCTGGCTTTGCACAAGGGTGGAGCTGGAGAAATCCTGTGGACTTCAGCGTGAGCGGCTGTTGTGGTTTAATTTTCTTTATAACTATCATCTTGTTTATGGGAGGAAAAAAACCTGCTTTTCCTCCCTGTCTGACGATTACTTTGTTCCTCCAAACCACTTCCCAGGTGTTAGTGATGAGAATAAACCTTCCCTGTGCACAATGGTGTCAGCTCTGGTTTGTCTCCTTTCCCGTGGTAAGGCCTGAAGTGATTCCTTGGCTGTGGTGACCTTCCCAGGAACCACCCAGGGCATCCCCTCGCTGTGTGGAGAGCTTGGTGGTGGTCAAATCCCCTCCTGCAAGGTTTTCCTCCTCCTCTTCCAAACCCCTGGACCCCCAGAGTGCCTGGCTGCAGTGTGTGAGCTGTCTGGATGCTGAGCATTGGCCAGGGTTAGACCAGTAAAGCTGGTCCTGGCTGATGCCACCAGCGAGGTTTAACCTGCTCCCTGGGTCCTGCACAAGTGCTTCCCATTGCTGTTGCCATTCCAAGGTGGTTGCTGCTGTGCTTTATCACATTCCAAAGCTTCGTAATCCTGTTATTTTAGCCCACGGGTCTGTATTTTTAGGGCACAGCTGTTAGTGGTGGGAGTGAGGGGTTCAGGGAAATGCATCCTAAGTTCTCCTGAGTAACTCCCTGGATTTAGGCCTGGTAGCAATGAGCTGCTGCAGGGTTTAAGGCTCTCTTGTCTCGTGCAGACCTTCAAGTGAACCTGTGCTGGTGCCGTCTCTGCTGCCCTCCAGGTGCTCCAGCCTTCTGCCCACCCCATGTGCTGCCAGTTCCCAAAGGATTGACCCTGGGAACTGCTGGGACCTGTGCCCAAGTCCTGAGCAGGATCCTGAGCAGCAGAGCACACAGGAATCCTGCAGATCTCTTTCCTTTGATGTGCAGAGGAAGCCCCAACAGGGAGGGAAGAGACATCCTGGCTTCCCAGGGAGTTCAGCCTGAACTCCAAGCAGGAAAACAGAGCCTCCCTTCAGCTCAGCCAGCTCTGCCTGTCCTGGGGCAGCAGCACAGCAGCAGATGCAGCTGCTGAGATAAAACCACTTTTCCTACCCCTCTGCAGTTCACTTCTAAATTACTGCAGGGAGTGTCTGCCAAGAAAGCTCCTGTATTGTTCCAGTGAGTGGAAAGAGCAAGATTTGGGTGGATGCTTTTGCAGTAAAGCTTCACTGTTTTAAGAAGGAAGAAATAACAAGGCCGAGTTAAGGTGTCACCACATCAAATTTAAAAATTAAATAGTATTTTAATAAGAAACTTGTTTGACAAAAATAGTTTACATCAGCTAGCAGCATGACAAAGGCATGTCTCAAAGTTTGAGGAAGAACTCTGTTTCAAATTTAAAATGAAAGCTTTTCCTGAGCACTGCAGCTGAGCTTCCCTCAGGACAAGCACCTGGCCCTACTTCACTGGCAGGGACAACCCCAGGTAAGGGTGACAAAAAAGGGGAATGGTGCTCAGGTAACATCAACTTAGAGGGGAACTTAAATTCCACAGTGTGGAAAGCCAGGGACTGAGCAGAGCTCAGCAGCCCTGGTGTCTGTCCTCATGGCCCCAGTCCAGCTCTTCCTTGTGGAAATGCTGGTACAACCACCGGGATGGTGCAGGGGGGATGATTCAGCACAGTCCTCTCTGCAGAATCAGCATCCAAGTGCTTCCTTGAAATGTTTAGACTATCCCAATCTGCTCAGCAGAAGAGCAGCTGAAAACAAAAGCTGACACTGGTAGTAGAACCACTTTTGCAAGCTGGTGGAACCCTTGCTGTAATGGATGGCATCCCTTGGCAGGAGCAGCCTGCAACCAGCTCTTCCAAAAAACACTCAAGGGACTTGTTTCCAGACTCCAGTTCCCTGTGGCAGTAGTTGCTCCTGTAGGAGCTCACAACCCTGGTCCTTTCAGGCTCTCAGGGGTCCATCCCAGCTCAGTGGTCCTGAGGGCAGTTTTTCCTATTGTGCCCAGGCTGGTGGCAAATGCTACAGGTCCGTGGTTTCTTGGCAGTGGATCCTGAGGAGAAACTGCCTGGTCTCTTGGCTTTGCTTCCCAACCCTCTTGAGTATTCACTGCTGCCAAAGTTGTTCAAAGAGACATCTCCAGAAGGACCTAGAGAGAAATGACTTGAATTTAAGCATCTTTGAAAATATAAGTAGGTGAGAAACAGAAGGTAAGTTCAAAACAGCAGGATTCTCAGATTATTCCTGAACCTGCACTTGCTTCAGACTTGTTTGAACAGTTAAATGTAACCCATTTGTCTTGCAGCATTAGAGACATGTGGGAACAGAACAGGGGAAGCTGCTCTGGTCTACAGCTAAAGCAGAAACAAAACATGCCAGAGGAAAACCTGAGATTTAAGTAGTTTTGAAAACTTTATTCTACCCCTTTAGGCCCACAGTTCTAAGGAGGAGGAGGAGGAGGTCAGTGCTGAAGATCCCTCACAGACCACATCTCCCCTTCTGTACTTCATTACTGTCCCTTTGTCACTGCTCTCTCTTTTGCATCCTCATTTTGTCATTATTTTTGTTTTCAGCATCTTCTCACACTTTGATCTCTGATCAAAGCTCCAGAATGACTTGGCCTTTCCCTACACCCCTAAACTAGGGCAGAGGGAGCAGCAGAGTTTCCCTGGCATGCCAGGGTGGGGTTTAAGATCTCCAGAAGTGGTGCCACTGCTTCAACTCTGCACCAAGTCGGTAACAGCTCTCACAAAGCTGAGCACTGTAACTTGGGAGGACAAATTCCCAATCAGACTGTTGGAAAGAGTCCTGGGCTTTATCCAATGAGTCATGGACAGACAGATGGTCAAGTTCACTGCACACAGAAGCCAAGCATCCTGCTCAGAGCTCAGATGTGTGCTGTGAGGATGTATCCTGCCAGCACTTGGAGAGGTAAGCCAGACTTTGTTGTTAAAAGCCACATTTGCAGTGCTATAAAGCTGCTGACAGATGTTCTGAAGACAAACCTGACGCCTTAAATGTACGAGGTGCCACAAGATCTGTGCAGCACGAGCATGTGTGAGAGGTGTGTTCAGTTTACAGAATCCCAGAATAGCTGCAGTTGGAAGGGACCTCTGGAGATCACCCAACCCTCCTGTCAAGGCAGGGTCACCTAGAGCAGGTGACACAGGGATATGTCCAGGTGGGTTTGGAATGTCTGCAGAGAGGGAGACCCCATGCCCTCCCTGGGCAGCTGTTCCAGTGCTCTGCCACCCTCAGTGTAAAATCACGTTGAGGTAGAATTTTTTGTGTTTTAGTTTATGGCCATTGCTCCTTGTCCTGTTGCTGGGCACCGCCAAAAAAAGTCTGGCACCATCCTCTTGGCACCTGCCTTTGAGATATTTATATGCATTAATGAGACCCCCTCTGTCTTCTTCAGACTAACCAGGCCCAGCTCCCGCAGTCTCTCCTCATCAGAGAGCTGCTCCAGACTCCTCATCATTTTCCTGGCTTCTGCTGGACCCTCTCCAGCAGCTTAAGAACATCCTCCAGCCTTTGTGTCCCACCCCAAGCCCAGCCTTACCTGGTGCCACGTTCTCATCTGCCCACTGGAAGAAGCCGCACTGCTGCTCCCGGGGCTTGGGGCAGGTGTGGAACTGCCTGCCCTTGTTGGGCCCGTCCTTCTGCACGGTGCGAGTCACGGCGGGCTGGTCACACCTGCACACCGTGCCACCGCCAGGCCCGGAGCTGCCGCTCCCAAACGGCTCCGGGCCTCTCCTTCCTCCCGGGCCCCTCCCTGCTGTGGGCTGGGGGAGCACAGAGCCCCGTGGAGCCGCGGTGCCTCTGTCCTTTGTCTGCTCGTCGGCCCAGAGGAAGAAGTTGCAGGAGCTGGAGCTGCACTTGTAGAACTGCCGGCCGTGGTTGGGCCCGTCCTTGCGCACGGTGAGCAGCAGCGCCTCGCTCCCGCAGTTGCACACCACGGCGTTGCTCCCGTCCTCCGCAGCGGCCGGAG